CTTCAAGAATCAGTGAGGACACTGATCGAGATAGTGTGGGAGCGGAGCCTTATTTCCACTGTATTCTGAACTTCCCTTATTTCCTGTATTTCCATTTCACTGCACTTTGAATTTTAGTAATTTCTATTTTTACACTTTCTATTTCTAGCAAATAAAGCTCGTCTATATATCTTTCACGTTACGCAAACAATCCCCACATTATTTAACGTAAACAAAAACTTTCATTTGTTCCTCAAAAGCAAAAGCATCACGAGAATGCACCTGAGTTCAAAACAAGTTTCGAAACTCCGAGGAAACGACAGTTCTAACAAAACCAGTATCGTCTAGACACCTTAGATCTCTAGTTTATGCGAGTCGGTTTCACCACCTACGTGTACCAAAGTCTCAAGTGTCTACGCAAACTCAACCCCAAGTAGTTTATACTAGCAGTCAGCACCATCCTAAAAACACTTCTAAGCGAGCGACCGATGCAAATAAGTGTATGATCTCCAAAAAGATGAAAAATCATGAAAAGAGAGCTAAAAAGCCCAAGAATATAAGATACGTTTCCTTCTAAGTTAGGTGCTCCTCACCCGAGCATTTAGCCCAACAGCACGAAAAACTCATTGAAAAATCAATGACACCAAATTATGATCAATGAAGAAGATCAAAAACAAAAAAATGAGATCATATTCACTAACAGGTCGACTTGCCATGAAAGTGTGCGGACAACGGGCTTAATGTGATTGCGCTAGAACAAACAGGGTGAACTTGCCACGAGAACCTTGACACCAAGATACGGTAGCATGACTGAGACCGATTTTCATAAAAGGGAGACCTCCGAAGACTTGTAGTCCAGTGTCGTCGTGATACTCGTCTTGTTCCTACCAAGAATCCCGGTTTTTCCAAACTCTGCGAACGAAGAAGCAGCCTCGTGCTTGCCGACTTTTCCACGTTTTACTTGAGGACAAGCAAAGATTCAAGCTTAGGGGAGTTTGATAACACGAAATCATATAGATATTTTCATGCATAATTCAACTAAAGTCTAACTGTTTTCGATCCGATTTCGGGTTATTTCCGTGTATTTGTCTGATGTTTTTGCAGGTATTCAACGATCACGTCTAAACAAGGCAACATGAAGAAAAGAAGCAATCCCAGATGAAATATGGACGAAAAAGGAGTGAAAACACAATGAAAAGCGCAACAATCAGTTTTTGCTGATGTGACGACCGTCACAGATGCATGACGACCGTCACACGGGTGACGACCGTCACACCTTGTGACGACCGTCATGCAGGCAAAAACGCCCCACTCAGATTTCACGTCAAAAGAGCAGTTCCAATTCCCATTAAGTGGTCCACTACTCCCTAAATTATCTGCCTCAAGGTCCATCATCCTCAGAGATAACCGTTGGGATTCCACCTCTATAAAAAGGGAAGCAGAGGACTTCAGAAAGTGTGCTGCATTCATACCACGAAGTGCTGCCGAATTTAATTTCCAGAGCAAATTTACTTTCCAGTTTCTATTTGTATTCCTTTCCTTTATTTCCCTTTTCATTTCCTCATTTCCATTTCCGCTCTTCTGTAATAACTATTGCACTGTACGATCAATTTGGAACTAAAGACAGAATCCTGCCAACATCTGTGGAGGATCTGCCCAAAGGCCAATTGGCATTATTTACAGGTTTTCATTTTGATCGACTTCTGTTTCATTATAATGCAATTTATTATTTATTATTATTATTTATGTTTTGTTTTTCCAAATTCCATGTCTAGGTAAACTTAGGTAATCGATATGTAGTAATAATTCGAATGAGATTTGATAACTCTTGTTTGAAAACTTTCTTTTCACAAAAGTAATTTATGGTCTAAGTGTTTAAAATTGATTCACGAAATAAACTTCGTCGCGAAAGCGAGAACTTATTTAAAAGTAGTTTTGCCACGAAAGTGGGAAATTAATTAAGATACGAACCAACAAGCGAAAGTTGCGGTAAGGTCAGATAGTAAACACTAGGCATTTGTTTTAATAACAACGAAAGCACTTTAAAACGAATTAGAACTTAGAGATTTCCAAAAAATAATTTTAACCCCGAACGGGATACGAAAGTGTACGTTTGGCCCTTAGGATTATGATTAGCGTCAATAACCATCGTGAGACGAGAGTCTTCAAATCTCCATTTTCTGCTTAAATAAACTGTGAAAACTATTTCATACACCAGTAACTTATCAAATCCCTGAAGAACACAATTACTACGTATCGATTCAATTAATTAAAATCTAAACAGTAATCTTAGTTCCCCCTTTTAGTGACAATCTTATTCCCTTAAAACATATTCTACCTAGCTAAACATAGTAACTCCCGAGAACACTAGTTTGATTACGAGTCCCTGTGGGATCGATATCTTTTATTACTACGCGATAGACTGTGCACTTGCAGTTAGTTGTATTAGACATAGAAAGTCGCGATCAATTGACTGAACTTGAAGTAAACATTCAAGTATCAATCAAGCTTCTTGTTGACCACAAATCTGCTATAAACTTAAAAAAGAATCATGTCTTCCATAAAAGATCCAAGCATATTGAAATGAGATTTCATTATATAAAGGATCAAGTGAATAAAAGAAGATTGACAATGAGATATTGTCCTACCAAAGATCATATTGCTGATATTTTGACTAAGGTTGTAAAAGAAGAACAATTTTCTAAGTTGGAGATAGATATGAAAATGGTGGCATTTGATTTAGAGGATCGAACGGGTTCTGGATCACTAGCCTCTAAACTTTTGATGGCTTTTGAAGCGGCAATCTCTAAAGGTGTCAGAGGCTGGAGCAGCCTAGCCTCTGAAGCAGCATCCTCTAAAGGAGTCAGAGGATGAAATACACTGGCCTTTGAAGTTTTGATAACTTCTGAACCATCATCCTCCGAAAGGGTTAGAGGTGAAAACTACTTTTGAACCTCTAAAATCTGAAGCAGCTTTTAAATATTGGCTAAAGTCTAAAGATGCGGAATCTGAAGTATCAACTTTTGATGTGTATCACTTGGTGAAAATTTGAATTAAGAGAACATGTTGTATATTAATTTAAATTTATTTAGTTGGTTTATATATATATATATATATATATATATATATATATATATATATATATATATATATATATATATATATATATATATATATATATATATATATATATATATATATATATATATATATATATATATATATATATATATATATATATATATATATATATATATATATATATATATATATATATATATATATATATATATATATATATATATATATATATATATATATATATATATATATATATATATATATATATATATATATATATATATATATATATATATATATATATATATATATATATAACAACTTGTGTAGTTTTATAATAACTTCCACTAATAGAATTTTTATTCAATACTCATTATTCTCTCATTTCTTCCCTTCCATTTTAATATTCTTTCTATCTTTCTCTCAATTAACATCAACACTAGAAAGAAACTCAAAGAGAGAACAAATATCCAAACGAAACCAACAAATATTTAAAAAGAAGAAGTCAAAGAAAAATATGTAAAAAAAACAGAGAGATCTAAATATAGAAAAATACTACATCAAAATATTTGAAAACATAAATCGATTTATATTACTTTTTCATTTAAGAGGAATTTATATGGAGGAAGTGTTGGAGAATTTGAGTTTTGTAGTGACATTTTTAAAAGAGTTTGAGTGTTCGATTTTTGCAAATTTTGGAATTTTTCATTAAAAAAAATATAGAAAGAGAGAAAGATTTGTGAATATTGATTTGTGAAGAATTGTGTTTTTCATGAGATAGAGTGACAGAGATTTGTGATTATTGATTTGTGATTTTTTATATACATATAAAGCATATTAATCATAAGACTTGAAACAAATAAAATTATGCATATAATGTCCACTAAATGTTATTCGGAATAAATAATTTGTATACGGGTCATGGCATATTAATTAAAATTTGAATCAAAATAGATAATAATTGAAAAAGAAAAAAAAACGACTATTCCAAGTAAAAAAACACTTAGACCATGGTAGAAAAATCTTTAGCCTTCCCATGTTATTAAATACCACTCTCTAAATAACATTAAAAAAAACACTTAGACCATGGTAGAAAACTCTTTAGCTTTCCCAGATTAAATATCACCCTCTAAATAACATAAAATATAAGGGCCAAGTGATGTACGTTAAATTTGAACGTTTAGTAGATCGCTCAAATAATATCATGTATTAACTAAAAATCAGTAACAAAAGATGCCGTGTCCGATCAAGGAATTTTAAAATGTGTTGTCAAGTAGTTCGATAATCAAATGTACCATATCCTACCAACGTGTGGGATCCACCTCACATGTTCTCTCGTGCTACTGAAATGTGAAATCCATAAAACTGGAACAGGCATTAGAAACAAAATCGACATCTGAAAAATTAGATAGGATCTAACCCTTCAACTCTCCCTCTGAAGTAAGGTGAATTGGTTTGTGTGAACAAAGAAGAGAAACTTACCCAACACATGCATTAAGCACACAAACTATGGTTAAGGCAGTCAACAAAGAGAGAGAGAGAGAGAGAGAGAGAGAGAAAGAAAAAGAAGTTGACCAAGCATCTTGTGGGTGAACTACCTGCCTCTTTCACACGCTCAATGGCGTTGAATATTTTAATAAAATCATGCACCTTTGATGCCTTTGGGCTTTAACCATGTACCCATGCAATTCTAATTGACACTCATTATATATATAAACAATAGTAAGTTACAACCAAATAAAAAACAGAGAAGAAGGAAAAACAAAACTAAAACCAACACAGAAATATTCCACGTCTTCCCTTTTTGCCTCAAAGAATTCAAAGACTGGTAGAGACAATTCACAAGTTGTGAAAGAAAAACAAACAATTCTTATACTTGATACTTCCCTCCATTTCTTTCGGGTAGGAGATTTAACATATTGAGAAAAAAGAATAGAGAAATGGGGCGTATTCCATGCTGTGAGAAGGACAATGTGAAGAGAGGTCAGTGGACACCTGAGGAAGATAACAAGCTCACTTCTTACATTGCTCAACACGGTACTCGCAACTGGCGCCTCATTCCTAAGAATGCTGGTTAGTTCCTTTTCTTTCCCTTTCCGTCTATAAATTATTTGAAATCAATGTCAATAAAACAAACTTTAATACTTGATTTTATGGATTCAATAGGCCTTCAGAGATGTGGAAAGAGTTGCAGGCTAAGGTGGACTAATTATCTTCGTCCGGATCTTAAACATGGACATTTCTCGGATGCAGAAGAGCAAACCATTGTGAAGCTTCATTCTGTTTTTGGCAACAGGTACCACAAATGTTATTATGCATTGACGTTTTGTTATTTGCAGTATATAGGATTCTCTTTATCACATTGTTAATGCTTCCTTTAAATGGATGTTCAGATGGTCACTGATAGCAGCCCAGCTGCCAGGACGCACCGACAATGATGTCAAAAACCATTGGAACACCAAGCTGAAAAAGAAACTGTCAGGCATGGGTATAGACCCTGTCACTCACAAGCCATTCTCTCATCTAATGGCTGAAATTGCTACAACATTGGCACCCCCACAGGCAGCTCACCTAGCTGAAGCAGCTCTTGGTTGTTTCAAAGATGAGGTGCTTCACCTTCTTACCAGGAAGCCCATTGATTATCAGGGCCAACATTCTAATGCAGGACTGGCTAATAACATCACCGACTACTTCACCTGTAAGCCAGAAGAAAGGGAAGATACTGTTGAGAAGATTAAGTTTGACCTGTCAAAGGCCATGCAACAAGAACATGAAATGATGCCCTCAAATAAACCTTGGGACTCCACTGCAGCTACATCTGCAAGTTTTGCAATGCCATACAGTATTTTCCCTACAATGTCTGGGTTCCAATTCAGCCCCTCGTGTTTTGGAAATAAAGGGGATGCATCACCATGGAGCCAGAGTTTATGTACTGGAAGCACATGCACAGCCATAGATCAGCAAAGCCAGTTCCATGAAAAACTCGAAGAGGAAAATGAGGATGATTCTGAGACTACAAAAGAAATTAGAAATCTATCCAATATATTCAATTCAGACTGCATCCTGTGGGATTTACCAGCTGATGATTTAGTTAATCCCATGGTATAAGAAATTTTATATTACAATTAGAGAATGTTTAGAAGCTCAACTTGTGAGACTACATTATGGAATAAAATTCTTACAAATATGATCAATGGTACAAAAATTTTAATAAGAGCTATTTTTACAAATTACAAATACACAACAAATGAAAAACATACTTTGCCTAATCAATTTTCTCATTAAGTCCTAACAACATCTTCAGATTATTAGATCAAGCAAAATATGATGATGAAGAGGATGTATCTGCCAGAATCTGTGAATATCAGGGAAAATAAACATTAGGACAAATATACTAAAAAAAACAAAAACAGTAGTAATAATTATGTTTTCTAAATCACGACACAATATGTTTAGACTCCATAGAAAGCTACCTCAAGTTGCTCTTCAGTGAATAACTCTTTCTGAACATTCCATGTATCAGCATGGGTCCGCCGGAACTCTGCAACAGCTTTTGTAACAGTTGATTTCACTGGAGATGGCTCCCCGCTAAAGCGGGCTAGTAAAGTAACATGCTTAGGTAACCAACTGAAAGAAGTTATGCAGTCACATATCAACAGAAAAAATAGTGTCAAAAGAATCAATAGATGCATAATCAAGAAAAAAAGCCAGTGATTGGTGCGCAAGGTGTGTGAGTATTGTAAATTCCTAAATGTCTTCAAATATCTCCCCAAAACAAGAAGAAAAAAACTATGTTTGTGATCCTTGTAATCTATAATTGAGATCAACACACAGACCCTATATATATAGATCAAGAGTCCAATTAGAGTAAAAAAAATCATTCTTGCAAAAAGCTTATTCTTTCTCCAAGTTAATTGTGCATGTGAACTAGAAAATCTTTTGGATTTCCCCCACTAATCATTTGTCAAATTCAATCACCGTCAACTAGAAAAAGAATATCCGGGTATTAGACTATAACCTTAGCAATACCACTTCAATCATTTATACTTCTAATGATATAGGGACATTACATGATTTTTTACTTTGATATTGTTCCTTGGATTCTCATGGATGAATTTACATTTACAAGTGATGCATAAGTTGAAGATAGCAGTAGACAGCAGTACAAACATCACAGTTAATGTAGTTATTTCAAAATACGACAACAAGAAAGAGATTTTGTTTATTATATTATTGAACATTTGTCTAACTTCCTTTTACTCTCTCAAGTTGATTTTACATTAGCCATTACTAGTATACCAAGTTACCAATATGTACTAATGTTCAGTGGATATTATATTGTTGGACAAACCTGGGCATATCATATGGGGCTGATAATACAGAAGCTACCAAAGCTAGTACAGCACCATGAATAGATGCTACTGATGAACCAGAGCTTGCATTTCTACATTTGAAAATTTTAACACTTAATCAAAAACATGAAATGTGCTATAGATAAAAATTTGAGAGAGATCAAACCAGCTTCTCAATTGACCAATAAAATTTATATTGGCAAATCTCACCCTATACACTATGCTGTCTTGCCTATATGTTACATGATATTTTTCTGACACGCTGGATGTACCATGACTTTATTGCTTGTTAATGCCAAAATATGAGTTAAACAATTAAGCTTATTCTCCATGTAGAGAAATCAAATTTCAACTTCGCCATTATCATAAAGGTCCAAAGTCTACAGATATAATTTCACAAGATCATGGACAAGCGATAAAGATGATTTTACATTCGAAGAAACTAATCAGCATTTAGGCTCTTTGAGGCCCACTTTTTTCACAAAATAACATCTAAACGTTCCAGAAATGAGGTAATCTTTAGTATATAATATTACATTGAAAGAATTTACCTTGATTTTCTTCTCTTCTGTACAATATTTGCCTCAACATAAGCTCGATCACGGAAATCTTTAGCAAGATCTTCATCCCCACCCTTCATTAAGCCTGCTAACACTGCTGCAGCATGTTCTCTTACCTAGACAAAAGATTATGTCCTCCGGAATTAGATGATTTAAATGTGATAATCAGAATCGAACCAGATTCATGTCATAAAAAGAATCACATGAGATTAAATGTAAATACAAACCATCAACAATAGATGAAATCACGAGGAAAAAAACAAAGCAAATGCCGGAATATGATTTCCCTAAAATATATGCTCATATAGATCTGTCCACACGCAGAACAACAACCACTAGAAACTAAATATTTCAAGTGAGGGCACTTTCTCCACATGTAAGTCAAACAAGCTCGCATTTGGTGTACGATCTTTCCACATTCACAACCCAGTTCTTAAAAGTGAAAAGAATATCCAGGCTTACTAGACAAGTAGGACGATTCAGATGAAAAAATTTCAACAAGCTTAGGATTTTCTATATAGTACAGGTATCTCGTCCTAAATTATCCAAATTACAAAATATAGAAAGGGAGAAAAACAACATATTTTGAGTTTTTATTTTGAGAGCTTGCCTCAACTTGGTTGTCTACTAGTAACTTCTCAACTGTTCTCCAAATTTCTTGTTTCTTTGAACTTGAGAGAATGAAAGTGTGCCTGTTAAAAAAGGAACAAACCTTTATTTTCTTCTCCTTCATAACAGGTAGCAGTTAGATAATTTTGAGAAAATGATTATAACATAAAAATCATCTATAAAGCACTATTTGCTTATACTTCAAAACATGGACTTAAATTAGTTGACTTAAAAATAAAATATTACCACATGAAGATAGACGTATATAAGGACTCCAATTACTTAAAGTATGCGATGCCAAAGCAAACCAGACACAAGATCATAATACCTGTACATGAAAGTACGCAGATATGTCAATGTAGCAGATCTAATTCGCCAGTTGGAATCATTAGCAGCAGAAAGAATCACAGTTATGGCCTTCTGGAGGTGAGGTTCCCAAACAATCATCCATTTTAGTAATTCAAATGCTGCCTTGGCTAATGTTGACAAATCCTTGTTTGATGTGTCCTTCAAAAGAAAACAAAATTACTCAGAAGTGTGATAAGCCATATACTTGAATGATAGAGGGAAAAAAAAGAAATTTATATTAAAAAAATTTGATTTTTGAATACTTCTCCAAAAGTATCCGTGTTAAAAAAACTTTACAAGATATATCTGTTAAGAATTGTGGTTGGGGGCCTAACTCAACCCTACAAAACCGGTTGATAGAGTGAGGATTACCCCCACTTATAAACACATGTTCATGCAATATATTGTCCGATGTGGGACTCTTAACACACCCCCTCACGCTCAGGACTGGACAACTGAAGCGTGGAAATAAATGGTGGGTGGCCCGATAGCGGAAACCATAGAAGGTGGCCCACCGGATCTTAAACCAGGCTCTGATACCATGTTAAGAATTGTGGTTGGGGGCCTAACTCAACCCTACAAAACCGGTTGATAGAGTGAGGATTACCCCCACTTATAAACACATGTTCATGCAATATATTGTCCGATGTGGGACTCTTAACAATATCATCCTATAATCAACTCTGGGATGTGAATCAAGACTGAGTTTGGTGTTTACAGAAAGAAGGAAAAAATCTGAGTTTGGTGTTTTTAAATTTTATGAAGCTCGGGTTAATACTAAGAGAACCAAACTGGCTCTTAATAATACCATTAAAATAATCAGATGTCTAAACTTGAAGGCTTAAGTGAATAAGAGAATCAAAATCATCCACAAAAAGCCATACAAATTTTCAAAAAGAAATACACTATCAAATTCACAAAATACAGTCAAATCTATAGCACAGACCTGCAAGGAAATCACGGGATAAAGAAGTCCCACAATCACATCGCGAAGATAAGAGGATCTCCCAGACTTCAATGACGAGATGATGAAATAGAGTAGCTGCATTTGTTTGGAATAATAAACAATCAGTAAAATAAAAAGTAAATGATATAATAAGTAAAACCAGAACCCATAAAACTATATCCCTATTAGTACCGTTTCCATCCATTTCATGTCATCTTGTGAATCACCATCTACATGACCATTTTGAGAACTTGTATCTATTGGATTCACAGCTTTATCTGATTGGGAAGCAATTTGAATGTTGACAACTGCTTCGGCTGCTCTCTCTATAAGATACTGAACCCAGCTTTCGTCTTTTATCAAATTATTATCAACATTGTTGGTTCTCTCATCATCCACAGTATCATGATCACTTGAATGATATAGCCGAATGTTAGAGCACAATACAGAAAGGGTAACCCCTAGAGCCTCCCTTACCTGTTGTATAGGCAAATTAAAATAGGTCAAAACCATAAGCCATTAAGAAAATGTATTCCCACTTATGTATTCATGTTGCATAACATGGAAGGGGCATCAGCTTAAATGCAAAACACTTATTTCAAACACTTACTCAAATACACACAGAGAAAAGAGAGACATGGGGGTCTTTTATGTTCAAATACTAGGGCATTTGTTTCAAGAATTAAAAAAAGACTCTCCAGAATAAGGTCCGGGAATATAAATATGGAAGTTTAATTCCTAGGTACTTTGTAAAAAGAAAAAAAATGTTAGCATATTGATAGGAATGGATCGGATCCCACAAATGATGATGGGAATGTGTTAGTTAATAGAGATATTATTGGACCTAAACAATGGAGGGTATATGTGAGAAAGAATAGGAAACTCCACAAATAAATAGGAGTTAGTTTAGGTATTATTCTCCATATAAATAGGAGTTAGTTTAGGGATTATTCTCCATATAAAGAGGAGTGTATGGGGCAGTAGGAGGCATTGATTGATTTTCTGTTTTTGACCTTAGGGTTTGGGCAGTGAGAGAATAGTTTCTCTGACTGAGGAGCAATAGCTCTGGAATTTATTTTACTTTCATATTAATTAATAAAATACTTTTCTTTATTATATACCTCTGTTCTATCAATTGGTCCGACCTACCATTGTTCATGCCCAAAGCTCCTAAGATGGCTGACCGTGTTTCTGCAGTGGAAGAAAGGTTAGAAGGTGTTGAGGCTAGCATTGCTGCGTTACGAGAGTTCATTGGTGCTGAGATTCAACGTGCAATGGCTCATCGTGAAGTGC